CTGGGGGCTGCGGGCGGGGTTTTGGTCTCTCGTTGCTGTTTCTGTTCTCATTGGCTCATTCCATCCTCACCACAACCTTTGAAGGAGCTGCTGTTACCCCACTTCACAGGTGGAGAAACTGAGGCCCAGAGTCACACAGCCAGGAGGTGGCAGAGCCAGGCTCCCACCTGGGAAACAGCCTTGGAGAACACAAAGGAGGCAAAGGGGGTGCAGGGAGGGGAGGGCAGGTGTGGCCTAGGCCCGTGGTCGTCAAACTGCGGCTCGTGAGCCACATGCGGCTCTTTGGCCCCTTGAGTGTGGCTCTTCCACAAAATACCACATGCGGGCGCGCATATAGTGCGATTGAAACTTCGTGGCCCATGCGCAGAAGTCGGTTTTCGGCCTGGGCGAGTCTATTTTGAAGAAGTGGTGTTGATGTTTGGCTCTGTTGACCAATGAGTTTACCGACCACTGGTCTAGGTGGATTGGCTCCCAGGGTCCTGACATGCTCCCCAAGGGACAGGCAGGTGCCAGTCGAGGCCACTCGGTAACCACGGCTACGTCTTCTCTGGTGGCTTCCCTTCCTTATCACATGCCACTCGTACCATTTCACAGCCTCCCAGCTGCTGGGGCCTCGCTCCCCTCACTTGCCTTTGCAGTCAGGGTGGAGGGGCCGGGAGGAGGCTGACCAGGGGCCGGCTTTTCAAGAATCAAAACTCTTTTTAGGACAAGGCAGGGCCCGTGTGTGGTTGACTGGAGGAGGGTTTCGGGCGGCTGATGACTGCGTGGGTAGCAGTGGGTGAAGGAGTGGGCGCCCCCAGGTGCTCTAACTGCACTTCACCTGCCGGCAGGTGACAAAGGCGAGCTGCAGCCAGGCTGTAGCGCCCACCGGAGCCAGAGGGTCCCCCCCCACTAGTGCTGCCGCCGAGGAGCCGGATAAACCAGGGCAGAGGACCCGCTAGGGCCGCCTCCCTGGAAGGGGACCTGGCTTCCCAAGAAGGGCCCCGCGTTCATTTCCCTCGGGGTTCCTGGGGCCCAGGTTCCCTGCTGATGGGTGGCCTGCTGCGCACAGCGCCCCCTGCATCCTGAACGCATATCCCCTGCTTGGAGGAGGTGGAAGCAGAGAAGAGGAGATGAGGGGACTCAAGGGAGCCGGGAGCAGTATTTCCAGGGCAAACCACACAGGCAGGGAGGGCGAGCCTGAGGAGGGCAGATTTTGAAGGGAGGAGGCGGCTGGGATCTGGGAACAGAGTGGCATGCCTCCCTCAGGCCACTGGCCCACTGCCCCTTCCCCC